TAATGTCACTAAACCCAGTGATCAAGGAGAGGAGATGTTTCAGCACACTCTCATCTTAGCAGTTCTGTTGGTGCATGGAAGGGGAGCAACGACCGTCACAACTCAGCTAATGAACGGGGGGATAACTCTCACTCCCTCCAGCCTTTCACTGTGGATTTTCTGAAACCAGGACTGTTGCAATGTCTTTGCTTCATTTATAAGAGGATCACACAATGCAGTGATCAAGGAGAGGAGATGTTTCAGCACACTCTCATCTTAGCAGTTCTGTTGGTGCATGGAAGGGGAGCAACGACCGTCACAACTCAGCTAATGAACGGGGGGATAACTCTCACTCCCTCCAGCCTTTCACTGTGGATTTTCTGAAACCAGGACTGTTGCAATGTCTTTGCTTCATTTATAAGAGGATCACACAATGTCCTGAGTTGGAATGGACCCACAAGGATCATCAATCCAACTTCTGTCCCTGCACAGGACACGCCAACAATCCACCTGAGAGTGTCTGAGAGTGCTGGCCAAACACTCCTGGAGCTCTGTCAGGCTGTGAGCACTGCCCTGGGGAACTGTTCCAGTGCACAAATACCCTCTGAGGGAAGAACCTTGTCCTGATATCCAACTTAACCCTGTTCCAGTGCCCAAACACTCTCAGAGGGAAGAACCTTCTCCCAGTATCCAACTTAACCTGTTCCAGTGCCCAAACACCTCTGGCAGAAGAACCTTTCCCTAACATCCAACCTGACCCTCCCCTGACACAGCTCCAACCATTCCCTGGCTCCTGTCCCCAGTCCCAGAGAGCAGAAATTGGTGCTGCCCCTCATCAGGAAGCTGCAGACCCCCACGAGTCTCCTCTCAGTCTCCTCCAGGCTCAACAAGCCAAGAGCTCTCAGCTGCTCCTTGCACAGCTCCTCCAGACCCCTCCCCATCTTATTTAGCCATAATTATGGCTATCAACTAATAAGCTCTCCTGAATGCACCTGTGGCCTCTTCCTCCCCATTCTCTGAGGGTTTTTATCACATCCCAGTGAGATGTCTGCAGAGTGTGGCTCTAGCTGTGTGACAGCTACAGGGAAAAGAGACAATCCCCAGTGCAGGGAAGCAAGAATGAAAATGACATTCAGCCCACACCTACACAGCAAAACACTTGGAAATGTCAGGCTACCTCCACCGAAAATCCATCCCTGCAGGGAAGTGTGTCAGGCAATTGGATCCCTCCTGCTGCCTCACATGGATTTGCTGTGTGAAAGCTCATTCCTCCCAACTCCAAACTGTACCCTACACCATGTTCTGACATTCAGAGCAGCAACAGGTTGAGCCTGTTGGAAAAATCTAAGCTAAGCAAAGAACAGGAGTCTAAACAGTGAGATGTGATGGCCTCGACTCATCGTGTGTCAGTTCACGTTGCAATGTGAGTTTTCCAGCAAATATCCAATTATGGCTTTGAAGAGAGATTACAGTACTTGGTTCTTCCAAGTGATGAGTAGAATTATAGCTTCTAAAATGGTAATGAAACCAGGAAAATGAAACAGGATCTACTACCTGGCCCTGTATCTTTTTTTAATGAAGATAAATTCAACCTCCTTCTACATATGCTAATTAACAGCTGTTTCACACGCGACTAACAAATGATATCGATTAAGAAGGAAAACAAATCTCAATAAAAGTATAAAATCTTTTACAGCATTCAAGGCTCTGAGGTTAACCTTCCAAACAGGCATAAATCACCTCAGGGTGGTAATAAGGAAGCAATTAATTCACTCCTTGACCTCCTACATTCAATACTTGAGAGCATTCCTCCTCCTCTGGGAAAGGGGTGATGGCTGTAAGGTGAAGGCCACACTTCAGGGCTCAAAGCAAGGTGAGTGGAGGTGAGGCATGAGTGGAATCTATGGATGGGAACCTGATTTTGCAAGAAATAAAGGCATACTGTTGGAAGAACAACATTTGCAAGGATAAGTGATCACACACCCAACACCAGCAACAAAGCCAAAAATCTGAGCCATTTGCTGCATGTTGGAGTCTCTGGGATTGCTCTGCACAAACACCACGTCCTGAGCTACTCTGAACATTTCTCAGGAGGCTTCTACATCACTAGTTATTTCACAGAAGTCTCCCAGGACATTTTTAGTCCCCAAACTCACCGTGTCTGCTGATGAATCGGATGCAGCTCTCCACGACCAGGGGGATGGCTTGGGAGGAATCCTGCCCAAGAGAAATGTAGAGAAGAGCAATCAGAATGGAAAGTGATGATAAACACGAAGGAAAACAAAGAATAAAAACGAGGAAGGCTTGACTCTACCCACCAAAACCACAACTTGTTTTCTTACTTAACGTCCAAGATCCTACAAACTCCAAAGCAGCACCTTAGGACAGACTGTGTGAACTGAAATCCCAAGCCAAACTTAATTGTATCATCAACAAGAGAGATTTTGGGTTTTCCCTGTCTCAAAGAAACACATTTTGGCTCATTAGGTACCAAAAAGCATCAGATTATGGGCCAGGCAGGGACACACAGCCTGGCAGTGTGTTTATTACACGAAGGCACGAGTGAGGAGTTCCAGGTTTCCTAGGATTGCAGTGGGATTCCAGGGAAAATCAAGGGAATGGGGACAAAGAAACAACAGCATGAATGCCATAAACCATGGCTGTGCAGACAGCTCAAGGCTGAGGGTCATTTTTGCTTCTAGATCTGTCAGAACATGGAGTGAAATGAGTTCTGGCCAAGAAAAGGAGTAGAGGCTGTGGATGTGGGTTTGAAGGAGCAGATACTGCTTGGACATGACTGCAAAGGTCCCTGGAAGAGAGGCAGGGATAAAAACCTGTTTCCCACCAATCCTGCTCCCCACAAACACAACCACATCTCTGCTGGAGGCCACGTTCAGTACCTGCTTCCTCACGGTGGAGCTGCGTCTGCCGCTGAGGAGGGAAAAACACAGAGTCAACACAATCCTCTCCCATCACCACTTCATTCCTTCAGTATTCCCAACCACATGGATTTGGGAGGAGGGAAGGAGCCAGAGAGCCAAGTCAATCACAACGTCAGAGTCTCACTCAATTTATGGAACTTCAGAGGGATTTTAAGGGACTCTAAATCACCAAAAAACCCGAACGAGACGCGAGGGAATTTTGACACGGGATTACCCTCGACACTCTAATTCCAACCAGACGGAATTCTCTGGTACAGAGCTCCTGGAGAAGATGGAGTTTGATAGGAATTGCACATAGCTGCTCTCTGGAAGAGCAGGTTGGTTCCCACTGTGTTGTTACAGCTGCCACTGCAGAGTCTTTATTGTAGTTTTGATAACACTTCAAATAAAATCTGTCAGGTCCATTCCAACCCCTAAATTCTATGATGATTCGATGATGATGATGATGAAATAAATAACACAAACCTCCTCCAAGACCAGCCCAGATCAGCACAGGTTAAGCCTTTGCTGTCTGCTCTCATTTATTGATGTTGGTAGACATTAATAGTAGAAAAATAGGAAAAAGCTTTGCTTTGCCAGGATTTTTTTCCCCCCTCCAAATTTATTACTGGGGTTTAAAATTCCTTTAGTTTCTTGTAAAAATGAAGCCTAAGAGATAATAGCAGAGAGGCCCTAATGGATCATTCCAGCCAATTCCCTGGCAGGGCAGATGGCTGCTGAATTATAAATAAGGTGATTAGAACTGTGATTTTTAAAAAGGTTGTGCAATGTGTTAATTTGGGGGAAATTCCTTTTACAAAAATCAAAAACACTGAATGGAGAAACAAAACCTCTGATTCCAAGGGCTGTCACGGACAAGGAAGTGGATTTTAAACTGTTAGCAGTTTCAAATGTGATGCTTTGCTATTTCAAATTGTTTCATGATGAATAATATTTTATTATTACAGATGTCAGGGTCTAATTAGGACCTGTCAGCTTTGCTTTGCTGGAAGGAATGTGAACAGTAGTAATGACTCCACACTGGTAGCAATCACCTTCCTTTTGTACCCGAGGCAGGATGATGCACAGCTCCTGCTCCAGCTCCCTGTGCCTGCTGGAGCCCTTGGAATCCATCACTGTGCAGCTGGAGATTTGATATCATAGAATCAACCAGGTTGGAAAAGACCTCCAAGATCATCAAGTCCAACCCTACTGTGGTCACTAGCCCATGGCACTAAGTGCCACATCCAGTCTCAGCTTGAAAACCTCCAGGGATGGTGAATCCACCACCTCCCTGGGCAGCACATTCCAATGTCTGAGCACTCTCTCCAGAAAAAATCTTTTCCCAATATCCAACCTAACCCTCCCCTGGCAGAGCTTGAGTCTGTGCCCTCTTGTCCTGCTGCTGGTTGCCTGGGAGAAGAGACCAACCCCCACCTGACTCCAACCTCCTGTCAGGGAGTTGCAGAGGGTGAGAAGGTCTCCCCTGAGCCTCCTCTTCTCCAGGCTGAACACCCCCAGCTCCCTCAGCCTCTCCTCATGGCACTTGTGCTCCAGTCCCTTCACCAGCCTCTCTCACAGAAACAGGAGTTTGGCTATAAAAACCTAAATTTGAAGGAGATTCTCTGGGTGACAGTGCCAAATTCAAAGATTTCTCACACTTTCCCATCTCATTCCTGATCAGCACAAAATGCACCAGAGTAAGGAAAGGTGCAAGACCTCGATGTGTCTTTTTTTCCCTTTATCCTCCTTGGTTCCTTTTTTCCCTTTATCCTTCCCAAACAGCTTCCCAACCCACTGCACCTGCCAGGGCAGCAAAGAGCAGGGAGAGGTGTTTATGCAGCATCAGGAAATATTCATCACTCCCCTGACCAGAGGTTACTAAATACAAGCATGAGCTGCACTGATGGAGGGAAAAGCCACATGAACTAGCAGGAATTTGCTTATATATAATAACTAAATCCCTGCCCTATCCCTGGGAGTGTTCAAGGCTAGGTTGGATGGAGCTTGGAGCAGCTTGGGTTAGTGGAAGGTGTCCTGACCTTAGCAGGGGATGGGACTGGGGGAGCTGTAAGGTCCTTCCAACCCAACCCAATCTGGGATTCTATTCTATGGTTCCACATAAGTATCTTTTTTTCCTAACAGATCCATTTCCTGGGCTGGTAACTGATGTAGAATGACCAATTTGCAGCAGATTTTCCTTAAAAACATCATTCCCTGAGCCACACCTACCTGGCAAGGGAGCAGTCAGTCCGCTGACCTGTAAGACAAAGGAATCCAACATTAGGAGAGAGGAACAGGGAAATGCTTTTGGTATCTCTGCAAAGCCACAGTTGGAAGGAGATGAAGGAGAGGAACCATCAGTGAGGGAGGGGACAGCTCTGTGGAGCTGGACAGTGGCTGATCCCCCCAGGATGAGCTGGTGAGGCCACCAGAGCCCATCCCTGCCAGCTCAGCTCCACCACATCCGACCAGGAAACAGCACAGAGCTCAGGATTCTGCTCAAAGCCTCTTGTCTGCAAAGTACTGTTTTTGAAAATTACTTCCCTGAGCATTCTAATTGTTGACTTCTGCTGCCAAAAACTGGGCTTGTCAAGCTCTCCCTCCCTCTTCCCAGGGGAATTGGTGGGGTGAGAGATTCTACTTTACAAACCCCTTCGGAGGATTGAAAACATTCCCAGATCTGTTAGCCCACAGCCCAAACGTGCTGGCACGAAGCTATTTTGAGAGACAGACATTTAATGAGCCTTTCCCCAGACATATTTATAAAAACACTCCATCAACTCGCCCTGAGTGTGCAGGGAAGTGGCCAAGCCCAGGACTTGCTAATGCAGCACCAGTTAAAACATCACAACGAGGAAGGAGAGAGACACAAAATTGGGATGTGCTGTTGGGAATTGCCCAGGCCACATCTTCTGCTGGTATAGATCATCATCAGTGAAACCCTACTGAGTCCCAATCCACCTTCCCTACAGTTGTCTTCCTGCTCCTGGGGAGATGGAAGAATGAATGAGGGAAACAGCTAATTGCTGATGGCTGACAATTAGTCCAACACATCTTGATAGCCACTTTGCTCTCCCCACGTAAAGCCCAAACAGTGCATAATTGACATGAAAATGTTATTCTGGAGCAGAATTTTCAGCCATCTGTCCCATTCTCATCATAGAATATTCATACAGAGAAATTACAGGGCTGTGGCAACATCAAGGGGCTCCTACATTAGGGTGACAAATGTGTACAGTAGGCAGGGACATAATTACTTGGAGATAGGGAGACTCGCTGCTATTTTTATTGCTGGAACTTGTCATCTTTAGATTAAGGTAATTTGCACAAGAACTAATAAATGTCACCTGAGGATGGGGCAAAGAAGAATAAAAATTGTAACAGACCCATGAATTTCTTGGACTGAAGACACATTTGTGGGTGCATTTCCCAGCAAAGCTTCTAACTGTGCTCCAGGGATGTGTGAAAGAATTTTATTTGCCCCTTTCCCAATTAAGTGACATTTTATGGACAATTCTAGGCACGGTCCCCAGTTAGTAGCATTAACCTGCTGATGTGGTTTTGGAGATGAGCTGTCCCTCCCTTTCTCAGCTCTTTTTGATCTCACAGCTGCCAGGAGCTCACCCTGACACTCACTGGGTCCCTTCACAGAGCCACTGAGAAAGCTCTGGTTTGCTAAGCAAGTGCAGGGAAACAGAAGCAGCCTTTAAATCTGCATAGCAATGGAGAAATCACATTTAATTTCCTCTCCTTTCCCCCCAGCACAGCCCGGGCTGGGGGCAGGGGGGCAGGCAGGGGGAGAGCAAATAGGTCTTGGAATGCAGAGGTCATAGCTTGATCCAGGAATGTGATTAGTCACAGGGGCAGCATGGGTGTCACTAGGAGATCTTTAGAGCCAGAGGAAAAATACCCTAAGGACACAGAAGTTTGGCTTCATCCACCCTTTCCACGGGAGAGCTGAAAGCCTGAACAACTTTAAACAACAAAGTTCAAACCAATGAACACCCTTCGGTTGCCTTTCAGTGCTTTGGGTCTGACACATGAAACTCTTCATTACTGTAGCAATGAGTATTTTTAGTTTTATAGAGCGTTTTCAAACCAAAAGCAAAGCACTTCAAAGGCCACATGCTGGCTCAGTTCTCATTCACTCAGCTCAGCCCCCAGCACAGCACCAGCACAGCCACCCACAACAGCTCCAGCCACTTTTTGACCTGACATTTAGACTGTCAAAACCTTCCCCTCTGCAAATACGAGGCAGACAGGTTTCTATGGCAACTTAGATGCATACTTTAAGTGTTTTGGGCCAACAGGATTTGCCCATACCATGAAGGGAAAGAAATCTTCCTTTGTTCTGAGGCTAATAACAAATGCATATGCAGCTCTTGCTGCTGCCCCTTGACTATTGCCCTCTAGACAGGCAACATATTTCACATGCTCTGAAATTTGTTTGCTATTCTTCTAATAAAAGCCCAGGCTCATATCCATCACTTTGGTCTGGATTGAACCCAAAGGGTGAGAAGCAACCAAAGCACCATGAAAACAAAACTTTGGACCAACCTAAAAAGACTTGTCAACTCATCAGCAAACTGTAAATCACAGGGTTTGCCTCAACACAGATTGTTCAGTGACAAGCAGGACATGTGTGAACAGGGAGAGGAAGGATGAAGTGCTTCATTGCAGCTAGGGAGTGATGCACATTAGTGATTTGTTAAGCATTTGGTGTTCACCATTAATCAAGCAGCCATGGAGGTCATTTGGCTTCTCCATCACGCAGAGCAGAGAAATACATTCATAAAACATGAGCATGGCCACTTTGCATCACTAAGCCAGGGCTGCCACACTCAGCTGACTAACCCAGCAAGGCCAAGAGCCCAGTTAAGAGCAGTGAGGAGGGTCCCAGACTCACTTTCTCCCAGGGTCTTCTGAAGGAGGTCGTGCTTGGCTTGGAGCTTCGTTATCAGGTTCCTTCCTTCCAGATATTCCTTCATTTTCTGTGAAGGTGGAAAAACAGGATCATGAGTGGCTAATTCATTTCTTTGATTGCCTCTTTAGGTTACTAAGTACAGAATGTCACTTGCATTTCCAGTCAAAGGATGAACCAAGTCCTGGTTTATCTATCTGGGCAAGCCTAAAGCTCAGTCCATCCATATTTCAAGCACAACAAAGGTTGGACTTGATGATTTTGGAACCTTAACGATTCTCTATGATGTGCAGTGCAGTTTCTATTGTTCCACTGTGGAATCAGCTGAATGTTTGGCATCTTTGAAGCCATCAGAGCCTCTGTGATGCAGCTCTAGCCAGGCAGGGTGGGATGGCAATGTGCTTCCCTCACACGTCACGGGCAGCTGAATGAGCAATCTGTTCTGACAAACTCAAAGGCTGCTACTGTGCTTATTCTCTCACTTAACCTCCCTCACCCCACTTTACTTGTCAAATAGTGTGTCTGCCTCCACGCTGGATGATACACAGGGATGCAGGGGGGGCCTGGGACAAAGCAAATAAAAGTATTATTTAAGCTTAGATTTGCTCTCTGGGTGAAATATTAGACAATCACGGAGCCATTTCTCCCACTGCTTTCTGGTTTCTTCACAGCTCTGCAAATGCTGCTTTTTTTACAGCTCTTTTCATCTCTTACTTCACAGTTCAGAGCAGTTTTATTTATCTTCACTGTGCTGCAGCACACAGAATACTCTGCTGTAAGGTACCTATTATCCACATTATAATTGGGACATATTTACACTCCAAACCACACAAGCTCTTCAAATATCACAGACTGGGCTTTAGAATCAGCAGATATTTCAACATTAAGCTAACAAAACAGGCACAGAGAGAGGATTTTCATTTCATAATGAAATGTTCTAGTTTTTATAGTTGAATCCTTGAATGGTTTGGGCTGGAAAAGACCTTAAAGCTCATCCTATCTCACCCTTGCCATGGCCAGGACACTTTCCACCAGCCCAGGCTGCTCCAAGCCCCATCCAACCTGGCCTGGAACACTTCCATTGGCTTTCCCTAATTCTAGCCACTTTCTCCCAGTTCTGGTCTAGGATTATAAAATTAAACTGCAAATCCTTTAGGTGAAAAAGAGCATTTTTAGCAGTGAAAGTGCCTGGACCTTGTTGTCCTTTGCAGGTCACACCAGCAGTGCAGGATGTGAAGGGCCAAGAAGAAATACAAACATAAATATATCTAGACACACAGAGGCAGAACTGAGGGTGGGGGAAAACCTTCCAGGAACTCTCCAAGTTTCCCCTGTGGCTCTCCAGTCGTGCTGTGCACTGACACAACAAACAAAAATGGCTTTAATTAACTGCCAAACTCTTGTGTTTTATGTCCCTTTGCTTGACAACACTGGAAGAAACATTTCATGAGGATTAAGTCCCTTTGGAGAGTCTCAGCATTTCCTGCTTCCTATATTAATACTTCAACTTTTGTTGTTGTTTTAGAAGAAAACAGGAAACATGATCACTGTGACAAAAAAAAAATCATCTCTTTAATTTCCCTGTAGAATCTGTTTGCCAAGTCCTAACTAGGTATTTTGCTTGATCAGTTGGATTTTTTGCATCAAATCTTGACAGAAGAAAACATGAAGAGTATAAGCTGCAAAAATAACCTGAAGTGGAAGTGTCTGGGAGGTCTTAGAGTCATGGTCAGGTGAAAGGACAGGAGGGTTGGAGATCTCAGCACCAAATAGCTCAAACAGAAGCTTAAAGATCAGCAAATCAACTTGATTTGGTAGAGTTAAGCTTCCCTTTGAAGTAGATCTAAAGGTTTAAGCTCAGCCTGAAGTGGCTGCAGGCAGAGCAGGGCACAGTGCTGGGACTCACAGATGCTCTAACCCATCTGACCTTGAGGTCACCTGAGGAACATCACCAGCCTGGGATTGTGCCAGGGATTGTTTTAAAGCAGAAAAAGAGAAGGTTCCTATCCAGAGCAGCATCTCATGTTCTTTTCTCATTTCCTCATGCCTAACATTCTGTTCTCTGCCTGTTGCAAGGATCTTTATGAGAAAAAATAAGCCATTTCAAAGCAAGGCTTCAGGCTTTTTTTTTTTTAAAAAATGAATTACAAAGCTCCATTAGCATTGGGTTTTTGGCATAATAATAACAGGCAAAAAAATAATAATCAAACAACAGGAGAACTCCTGAGGATTTCATTTCTGGCAGAGCACAGCTGGAGCCAGACTGAGTGCAATCAGAACAAAGCAGTGGAAACATCCTCAAGTCAGGTTATTGCTGCACTGTGGCAATTAAGAGGTGAAGATCTGTTGCTAGCCAGAGCAGGGGAGCATTTTGTATGTACAAAACAGAGCAACTTGGACACCTCTCCAAGCCCAAACTCATTGCAGCATCTTCCCAGTGAGAACCAGTTGTCAGGTGGCACAGGCAAAGAAGCAAAACACAAAGCAGACAACATCTTCCTGCCTTTTCAGGGTATTTTTTACAGAGAGAGTGCTCAGGCATTGGAATGTGCTGCCCAGGGAGGTGGTGGATTCACCATCCCTGGAGGTTTTCAAGCTGAGACTGGATGTGGCACTTAGTGCCATGGGCTAGTGACCACAGTAGGGTTGGACTTGATGATCTTGGAGGTCTTTTCCAACCCAGTTGATTCCATGATCCTATGACCATTGTGACACGACTGCAGGACCAAGGAAGCCTTCAGACCACACTCACCCCTGGCTGAAGGGTTTGGTAATAATAAATGCCCATTAATTCTCAAGCACTTCACAGAATGAGCACTTTTCTGCTTTTTCATCCTTCCAGAGGAAAAAAAAAATAACATTTCACCTAAGAACTAAAACGCTCCTGTGTTAAAGGGAAAAAAATTAAATCATTCATCCCCTCTGCACTCCTCAGGTGGGGCTGAGCACCAGCTGTGCTGTGATTAGCAGCTCTGACAGCTATCCCAGCCAGCTCAGATGCAGCAGAACTGTAGCCATGGCAGCGGTGGACACATCCCTGGATTTCAGCTCCCTCAAGTCGCTGCTGCTTCTCTGTGTTAGCTACCTGCACCAGCTTAGTGCTAAGTCAATCATTCCTGTGCTTTCCACTGACACAGGGAACTTTAAGCTTCTATTCCAAATACAAATCTTCCTTCAAAGCCCAACAACAGATCCATCAGCTCTGGCATGCAGGGATGTGCCTCTAGTGGGAAACACAGATTATTTCAGTGTGGAGATACTCCAGTGAATATCCTTCAATTCAATTCCCCTGGTGCCATCACTAGGTTTCCCCAGGAGTTGTGCAGTCTGTGGAATTTCCAACTTGAGTTACATTCATCAGGAATATTCCTTCAAATGAGTGTTTTTCTTTGGGTTCATATCCTTCAGCATTTAGCACATCTTAAGGTAAAGGGGATTTCCATCTCAATCCCTCACTACATTGGGTTTTTATCCCTTGCACAAAGAATGGCTCACCCAGCTCTGCCCTCAGCCTCATTAACACTCATCTGAGCCTCTTCCCACACACTGAGAAAGCTGTTTCTAGGAGATTCAAGGCATGAAATCCTTATCAAGGATATTTATAAGCCTGGTCAATAGCAGATCAATCCAGCAGCTGATCAGGCTGGTTAAAGAGATCTCTGCAACTAACACCATGAAACGCAACAATATCCTCCCCCAACTCAGCCCTGGGTTCCTCCTCCTGTTTGCAGCTCCAACAGTCTCTCTCCAGAGAGAGAAGGCTTAGAGTTCAATTAAAAACCACATCTCTAGTTCTATAACCCTGGGCAGGGTGGTCAATCCCTTCTTAATTGAAGCAGTTTCTCCACCCACTTCTCTCACGAGGCAATTTCACCTTCTACTTGACATCAAGGCCTAATCAACCAGAGAGACTAGAGGGAATTGGTCATAAACTGAGACAGGGGAGAGTCAGGTTAGATGTTAGGAGAAATGTTTGCCCTGTTAGGGTGTTCAGGCACTGGAATATTGCCCAGGGAGGTGATGGAGTCACCATCTGGACCTGACACTGGAGGATATGGCTTAGGGGTTCCAGCAGTGGCAGGTTAAGGGTTGGACTTGATGATCTTAGAGGTCTCCTCTAACCTTGAGGATTCTATAAACCATCCTGCCTAGCCACTGCCACTTGCACAGACAAGTCAGACTTTTAATAACACCATTCTTGCAAGAAGAACATCAAGGATATTACATATAGCAAAAGATGCCCAAAGGGATGACAAAGTGACCAGGGTCAGAGCTGTGATTTTCATCTGCTACTCTGAAATAATCTGCAAATGAAAACGAATTCAATGGTTTAACACAAATCTGATTTAGAAAAAACCCCTCATAGTCTGGTATGAAATTCAATATCCAAAAGCTCTTAGCATCTTGTGACAAGCATTGACTCAATGAAAAGCTTATGTGATCTGAAATTGGGAGATGACAGCAACAAAAAATGAAAGGGCTAAACATTCTTGTAGTTTGTATTAGTTTTGAAAATTGATATTTACAAGCTATTAAGTTCTTTCTCAGAAAATTCCTTTTCAGATGCAGAAGAAATCAAATTTTACACAATTTATCCACAGACTATGTTTGCATCAACAAAGAGATCCCAACAGATTTGCAGAGAATTGAAAGCACACATGTTTAAAACCCAACATACTTGTTCTGCTTGTCCAAAAATCAATGACAGAAGCATTTTTGTAAGACAAAAGCATCACTTTGCACTCTGTTGTGGGTGTGATTTTAAATACATCACACTGAAAATTAGAGAATCATAGAATCACAGGATGGTTTAGGCTGAAGGGACCTTAAAGGTCATTTAGTTCCACCCCCTGCCATGGGCAGGGACACCTTTCACCAGCCCAGGTTGCTCCAAGCCCCATCCAATCTGGCCTGGAAGACTCCCAGGGATGGGGAAGATAACTTCTCTGGCCAACCTGTGCCAGTGCCTCAGCATCCTCACAGGGAAGAATTTCTTCCTAAAAGAAAAAGCTGCTAAATTCCTCAAGCTGAAGCCCTTACTGTGAAGTAGAACTGCTCTGTCTCCTGCTGGTTGGCTCGTCTCTTGGCAATGCTGGGTTTGCTCATGAAGGTTTCTGAGACTGTGGATTTCACAGACTCCATGGAGTTGCTGTACTGAAAGCAGTCAGAGACATCAAAGTCCTCTATCGTGACTATATCCTGGATTGTCTGCAGTGTGGCTTCCATTGTCTTCTTAACCTGGCCAGCAAGAAGGAGAGCAGTTAAAAACCAAGGGCAGCACATTGCAAGTAAACCACAGAGGTACTAAGTACCCTGGAGAATGTTACTAGCAAACACATATTCCTGTTTCCATGTCCTGACCTAACTAAGGTGCAGGTTTTGCTCATTAGCAGCACAGTCCATGTGAACAAAGTGCTGGCAGCACACAGAACCTGCCAGGACTCTGTGCCAGGATCACAGCTGGGATCTCTCAGGCTCAGATCAGCAGGAGATGGAAGGAAATTCAACCTCAAAGCAAACAGCGCTGAGACAAAGATCTTACAACCATCTTCTGTACCTACACCTGGTGGGCATCAAATGTCAGAGATTCCAAACAGGACTTGGAGCACTGCACATGTTTACTGGAGGACAGAATCAACTTCCTAGACATAAAGGAGTTGCAAATTTTGCCCAAGGAGGATTAGAAGCTCCTGAACACAGAGGTGCAGAAAGCAGGTCATGCCATTGCTGTTGTCTTCTCATCTTAGATGCACAATTGAACAAAAATCAGCTGTCACCTCAGGTAATGCAAATTCACTGTCTTCACCTCCAAACATTCAATTCCTCTTTTCCTCTTAGCTGTCCAAATACAACTTTTGCAACACAATCAGTCTTAGGAACTTGGGGATGGGCAAAGAGATCCATGGAGGTTTTTAGAGGATCCTCTCCACACATCCACCTCTCCCTGAGCTCACACACTCATGTCCTGCTGGGCTCAGCTGCCTTAGTCTTCAATTTGACCACAAATCCTCACAAAATAGGATCATAGCAATGAGATGGCTCTGTAACCAGCCCCAACTCCCCACTGGACGTGCTAAGAGTTGATTTTTGGTTGATTCACTGACCTCTTCATTTTCAATCTTCAGTGTAGATAACCTGGACTGCAGCTGCTGACACCTCTGCACCAGCTCACTCTGGACTGGCTGTTGGGCACAGAGCTGTGACTCCTGCAAGAGAAAACATGCACCTGACTGCCTAAGGCTGTTTTTTAAAGACAGGGATTGGAATTGGGAGTTTTATCACACCCATCCACATACACCATCATATATTCAACGTGGTACACTGCAACAAGACCACCAGCTGCATTTATAAGCACTCATTTGGCCTTGAGAAGCACAAGATAAATGACTCAGTCAACGGGAGCTGTTCCTCAATGACAATCTGCAGGGAATGCCTTTTCTTCCCACCACAATCTTACAGGATCCTCCCAAAGCACAGGAAAGGTAATTTGCAGTCTGAGGGTTTCACTAGAGATGGAAGAGACAAAGAGCCTTAAGCAGTGATTCTCAGACCCAAAGAAGAGATTGGCTGCAAAAGTCTGAGCTCAGGGTTCAGGGGGATGGTCTAGAAATCCAACCAACTGACCTAAATGATCACATTGTGCATGTGTTCCCATTTAGAACCGGTTTCAGCTCGTGTGACTTTAAACAGTTCCCAGCTGAGCAACCACATCTTGATAAACCTATAAAGAGAGGGAGCTTCACTGCCAAAACTGCAAGTCCTCTGACAGCCTTGTCTCACGAGGAGGGTGCACAAAGCTCCACTAGAAGCCATTTGTGCTCTAAGATTACACACTCAAATGCTGCAAAAAACAGCATTTCGGGTTCTTTTGTTGTCCCTTCAAATCTCTGACTTCAGAGTCTGTCTTGGGGATTAACCTGGAGGCTGAATGAAAGGTTAAAACTATTTCCTATCCACATTTAGTATTAAACCTAATTAAGCATTTTCATCTGCAGTAGCTTTGCTAGCCAAAAAGTCAGTAAAATTCAGACACCCATGGCATGAGCCACTGCTTAATCTCTTATCACCTGCTCAGGCTCCTCTCTATCACCCCAAACAAGTAGCCTTGGAGTGGGTTGATCCATCCCAGACAAGGGATGCAAACAGGCAGAGCTGCAAGTGTTTGCAGAGCCAGAGCTGGAGGAGGAACACCAACTGACCATATCACCCATGTGTGGCTGAAACTCAAACTTCATGGGAGGGCAGAAGACGTTGTTGTACATCTCCATCAGCCTCTGCTTGTCACTGTTGGCATCCAAGTTCTCCACGGCGTTTTCGATGGCATCCAACCCCTCGTGCTTGGACTGCTCCAGGTTCAGCTCAGCAGACAGGAATGTCCTGAGGGCTCTGTTGAGGCTAGCATGGTATCCCAGGTCACAGCACTGCTGGAAAAACACACACCATTCCATATGAATAAGTGGAGAGATTCTGGAGGGGAAATTCAAACGTTTCCAAAGACAGCATTTGTATAAATAAGATGTATGAGACTGGATGTGGCACTTAGTGCCATGGTCTAGTGACCACAGTAGGGTTGGACTTGATGATCTTGGAGGTCTTTTCCAACCAGGTTGATTCTGTGATTCTAAATGGATAACGAGTTGTGGATATTTGTCAACTTCTGGGTATCACATCTCTCACTGACTGCAGAGGGTCCTGAGAGAACCTCGGCCTATATCCCATAAGAATTTCAACACCATGTTAAAATGAGTCCCCAAGACAAGAACAGCTTGAGCTATTACAACAGTTTGTGGAGTTTTCATGGAGTACTAGAGACTCATTTCATACTGTTAAAAAACCACCCTAGAAGTG